CTGTATATGAATGAGGGGCATTATATCAAGGTTTTACTGTATATAAATGAGTGACATTTTATCAAGGTTTTACTGTATATAAATGAAGGGCATTATATCAAGGTTTTACTGTATATAGATGAGAGGCATTATATCAAGGTTTTACTATTTATAAATGAGTGACATTATATCAATGTTTTACTGTATATAAATGAAGGGCATTATATCAAGGTTTTACTGTAAATAAACGAAGGGTATTATATCAAGGTTTTACTGTATATGAATGAGGGGCATTATATCAAGGTTTTACTGTATATGAATAAGGGGCATTATATCAAGGTTTTACTGTATATAGATGAGAGGCATTATATCAAGGTTTTACTATTTATAAATGAAGAGCATTATATCAAGGTTTTACTGTAAATAGATGAGAGGCATTATATAAAGGTTTTACTATTTATAAATGAGAGGCATTATATCAAGGTTTTACTATTTATAAATGAGTGACATGATATCAAGGTTTTACTGTATATAAATGAAGGGCAATATATATCAAGGTTTTACTGTTTATAAATGAAGGGCATTATATCAAGGTTTTACTGTATATAAATGAGGGTGTTATTTCAAGGTTTTACTGTATATAAATGGGGGTGTTATATCAAGGTTTTACTGTATATAAATGCAGGGCAATATATATCAAGGATTTACTGTTTATAATTGAAGGGCATTATATGAAGGTTTTACTGTAAATAAACGAAGGGCATTATATCAAGGTTTTACTGTATATGAATGAGGGGCGTTATATCAAGGTTTTACTGTATATGAATAAGGGGCATTATATCAAAGTTTTACTGTATATAGATGAGAGGCATTATATCAAGGTTTTACTGTATATAAATAAGGGGCATTATATCAAGTTTTACTGTATATAAATGAAGGGTGTTATATCAAGGTTTTACTGTATATAAATGAAGGGCATTATATCAAGGTTTTACTGTACATAAATGAAGGGCATTATATCAAGGTTTTACTGTATATAAATGAGTGACATTATATCAAGGTTTTACTGTATATAAATGAGGGGCATTATGTCAAGGTTTTACTGTATATAAATGATTGACATTATATCAAGGTTTTACTGTATATAAATGAAGGGCATTATATCAAGGATTTACTGTACATAAATGAAGGGCATTATATCAAGGATTTACTGTACATAAATGAAGGGCATTATATCAAGGTTTTACTGTGTATAAATGAGTGACATTATATCAAGGTTTTACTGTATATAAATGAAAGGCTTTGTTCAAGGTTTTACTGTATATAAATGAAGGGCATTATATCAAGGTTTTACTGTATATAAATGAAGGGCTTTATTCAAGGTTTAACTGTATATGAATGAGGGGCGTTATATCGTGGTTTTACTGTATATGAATAAGGGGCATTATATCAAGGTTTTACTGTATATAATGAAGGGTTTTGTTTAGGGTTTAACTGTATGTAAATGAGGGGCGTTATATATCAAGGTTTTACTGTATATGAATGAGGGTGTTATATCAAGGTTTTACTGTATATAAATGAAAGGCTTTGTTCAAGGTTTTACTGTATATAAATGAAGGGCATTATATCAAGGTTTTGCTGTATATAAATGAAGGGCATTATATCAAGGGTTTACTGTATATAAATGAAGGGCATTATATCAAGGTTTTACTGTATATAAACAAAGGTCATTATATCAAGGTTTTACTGTGTATGAATGAGGGGCGTTATATCAAGGTTTTACTGTATATGAATAAGGGGCATTATATCAAGGTTTTACTGTATATAAATGAAGGGTTTTGTTTAGGGTTTAACTGTATGTAAATGAGGGGCGTTATATATCAAGGTTTTACTGTATATGAATGAGGGTGTTATATCAAGGTTTTACTGTATATAAATGAAGGGCATTATATCAAGGTTTTACTGTATATAAATGAAGGGTTTTGTTTAGGGTTTAACTGTATGTAAATGAGGGGCGTTATATATCAAGGTTTTACTGTAAATGAATGAGGGTGTTATATCAAGGTTTTACTGTATATAAATGAGGGTGCTATATCAAGCTTGGTTTTACTGTATATAAATGAGGGTGCTATATCAAGGTTTTACTGTATATAAATGAGGGTGTTATATCAAGGTTTTACTATATATAAACGAGTGACATGATATCAAAGTTTTACTGTAGGTCTGTAGTCATTAAATCTTGTATCATGCATGCCCATGTTTGTCTGATAGGGAAGGAAGTTTATAGAAAACTTCTTGATATTTACATTCCTATAGTGCACTTTATGAGTTATACAGTGTGTAAGGTGCATTCCATACCAGCATGACAGTTGGTATGTACATGTTAAACCTCTCAGAAACGTTACCTACCTGTATACCTGTGTACAGAGACAGATTGACAGCACTGTATGCGTCAGGTCTGTTGTATGGGTGGGTTTAGAACACCGTGTGTATCAGTAAAGGTTGGTATTCCAGATTGAGGCATTTGGTTGAGGCTTGGGGATGATGTTGAGGGACTTTGGAGTAGGGCCCGGATAAGGCTTGGTTAGAAAGGTTTGGGATAGTGTGCCATTCTGATGAGTATGTATATATGTATATATAGCGTTGATAAATGGATTCATATCAGTAACAACTAGACTCATAAATCTTACACAGCCTTATCAGCCCTTACTGTAAGTGGAGACTCAACAGACAGACAAACTGTGTGGCAGACTTTAGTTTGTTAGCTTTGTTGTACAGTGGATCACCTCTGAATTACAACAACTGTTGATAGACACATTGCTTTGTTGTACAGTGGATCACCTCTGAGTTACAACTGTTGATAGAAACATTGCTTTGTTGTACAGTGGATCACCTCTGAATTACAACTGTTGATAGAAACATTGCTTTGTTGTACAGTGGATCACCTCTGAGTTACAACAACTGTTGATAGACACATTGCTTTGTTGTACAGTGGATCACCTCTGAATTACAACAACTGTTGATAGACACATTGCTTTGTTGTACAGTGGATCACCTCTGAATTACAACAACTGTTGATAGACACATTGCTTTGTTGTACAGTGGATCACCTCTGAATTACAACAACTGTTGATAGACACATTGCTTTGTTGTACAGTGGATCACCTCTGAATTACAACAACTGTTGATAGACACATTGCTTTGTTGTACAGTGGATCACCTCTGAATTACAACAACTGTTGATAGACACATTGCTTTGTTGTACAGTGGATCACCTCTGAATTACAACAACTGTTGATAGACACATTGCTTTGTTGTACAGTGGATCACCTCTGAGTTACAACAACTGTATTAATGGTGCAAGATAAATGAGTTATTGGCAAAGGGGGCAATTTTGATTTATTTTCATAGTTTGAAATACAAAGGGGGCAATTTTGATTTATTTTCATAGTTTGAAATATGGACAAAGGAAAGCAGTAAATCAGTATTTTTGATTCGTTCCTTCAGCTTAAGATGGTCAAGGGGAGTATGTTTTTAGCCCACCATCATCTGATGGTGGGCTATTCAAATCACCCTGCGTCCGTGGTCCGTGGTCCGACCGTGGTCTGTCCGTCGTTCGTAGTCCGTCCTTAAACAATTTTTGTTATCGGTATTTTCAAGAAGTAACAGAGGGATCTTTCTCAAATTTAATATGTAGGTTCCCCTTGGTCCTTAGCTGTGCAGGGCAACTTTTGAGACTGATCGGATAAACAACATGGCCGACAGGCAGTCATCTTGGATTTTGATAGTGAAAGTTTGTTATCGCTATTTCTAAAGAAGCACCAGAGGGATCTTTCTCAAATTTTATATGTAGGTTCCCCTTGGTCCTGAGCTGTGCAGGGCAATTTTTGTGACTGATCGGATAAACAACATGGCCGACAGGCAGCCATCTTGGATTTTGATATTGAAAGTTTGTTATCGCTATTTCTAAAGAAGCACCAGAGGGATCTTTCTCAAATTTTATATGTAGGTTCCCCTTGGTCCTGAGCTGTGCAGGGCAATTTTTGTGACTGATCGGATAAACAACATGGCCGACAGGCAGCCATCTTGGATTTTGATATTGAAAGTTTGTTATCGCTATTTCTAAAGAAGCACCAGAGGGATCTTTCTCAAATTTTATATGTAGGTTCCCCTTGGTCCTGAGCTGTGCAGGGCAATTTTTGTGACTGATCGGATAAACAACATGGCCGACAGGCAGCCATCTTGGATTTTGATATTGAAAGTTTGTCATCGCTATTTCTATGGAAGAACTAGAGGGATCTTTCTTAAATTTTATATGTAGGTTCCCCTTGGTCCTAGCTGTGTAGGGCAATTTAAGAGACTGATCAGATAATCAACATTGCCGACAGGCAGCCATCTTGGATTTTGATAGTGAAAGTTTGTTATCGCTATTTCTCTGGAAGTACGGGAGGGATCTTTCTCAAATTTTATATGTAGGTTCCCCTTGATCCCTTGTTGTGCATGTTATATTTTGAGACTGATCATAAAAACAAAATGGATTAAAAGATGAACTTAACTGATCTTTCTCATATTGCAATGATCGATTCTATTTCTTTCACATTAAGTTCTGTACTAGTAAATATGTGAAATGACAAACTCACTTTGAAGGTTGGCTTTCATACACATCAGTATAAAGTTTAGATCAAAAGTTACCTCAAGGTGCATTTACTGTTAACATGACTCGATCAAACAGATTAGAGGAAAGAAGACAAAAGATCGAACTGACAAAGAACTCATGAAGATGGTACAAAGGTGGGCGCCAAGATCCCTCTGGGATCTCTTGTTACTTTTACATCATCACAGGAATAGTTCTCAACTTTACTGAGTAATCCAGTACAAGTTTCTTATCACATTTCCATATTTTCAAACATTGATATACATCAGAAGATTTGAATTATGTCAGTTTGGCATGGAACGGGCTGACATTGATCCACCCTCTCGTTAACTGGAGTAATTAAAAGTAAACATTTTTACTTTTTCAGGTCATTCTGTCAGAGGTCAACACAATTAAGGTGAATTCCTTAAGTGTTTTGCTGATTCTACACTTATCTTCACCAAACTCCATCATGTGATAGTGTTTGTAAGGTAAGACACTTTTCAGGATCATTTCGCTTAACTCAGCTTCTAAACAGTGTATGCAGTGTACATGTCCACACCTGTTGTTTTCCTATAAAGATATGAAATAGGATACTATTATATTAATTCCATGATAAGACAATAAAGCATGTCCACCTCTTGGTTACCATGGCTATATTGTAGACTAGCCAGCCACTTACAACGCCATGTGTGTTTTACACCAGCTCATTCCCATCCAATTAGTCACACTGTATCTGTCCTGTAGGAAACACTGTATCTGTCCTGTAGGAAACACTGTATCTGTCCTGTAGGAAACACTGTATCTGTCCTGTGGGAAACACTGTATCTGTCCTGTAGGAAAACCTACAGAGGTCTGTAGCTGACTAAAGTTATAACTCTGTAAGGTGACAAAGTTAGGGAGGTCTGTAGCTGACTAAAGTTATTACTCTGTAAGATGACAAATTTAGGGAGGTCTGTAGCTAGCTAAAGTTATTACTCTGTAAGGTGACAAAGCTAGGGAGGTCTGTAGCTGGCTAAAATTATTACTCTCTAAGATGACAAAGACAGGGAGGTCTGTAGCTGGCTAATGTTATTACTCTGTAAGATGACAAAGTTAGGGAGGTCTGTAGCTGACTAAAGTTATTACTCTGTAAGATGACAAAGCTAAGGAGGTCTGTAGCTGGCTAAAGTTATTACTCTGTAAGGTGACAAAGTTAGGGAGGTCTGTAGCTGACTAAAGGTATTACTCTGTAAGGTGACAAAGTTAGCGAGGTCTGTAGCTGGCTAAAATTATTACTCTGTAAGATGACAAAGCTAGGGAGGTCTGTAGCTGACTGAAGGTATTACTCTGTAAGATGACAAAGCTAGGGAGGTCTGTAGCTGACTAAAGTTATTACTCTGTAAGGTGACAAAGACGGAGGTCTAGCTGACTAAAGTTATTACTCTGTAAGGTGACAAAGTTAGGGAGGTCTGTAGCTGACTAAAGTTATTACTCTGTAAGATGACAAAGCTAGGAAGGTCTGTAGCTGACTAAAGTTATTACTCTGTAAGGTGACAAAGACAGGGAGGTCTAGCTGACTAAAGTTATTACTCTGTAAGGTAACAAAGATAGGGAGGTCTGTAGCTGACTAAAGTTATTACTCTGTAAGATGACAAAGATAGGGAGGTCTGTAGCTGACTAAAGTTATTACTCTGTAAGATGACAAAGATAGGGAGGTCTGTAGCTGACTAAAGTTATTACTCTGTAAGATGACAAAGACAGGGAGGTCTGTAGCTGACTAAAGTTATTACTCTGTAAGATGACAAAGACAGGGAGGTCTGTAGCTGACTAAAGTTATTACTCTGTAAGATGACAAAGACAGGGAGGTCTGTAGCTGACTAAAGTTATTACTCTGTAAGATGACAAAGACAGGGAGGTCTGTAGCTGACTAAAGTTATTACTCTGTAAGATGACAAAGACAGGGAGGTCTGTAGCTGACTAAAGTTTTTAGTTTGCTCTGTTCATGACTGACACAACAATTTGTTCCTGGTAGGAGGGATGAGAAACAGTATTAATGGGAGTGGAAGGGATGAAGGGGGAGTGGGGTTCTGTTGTTCGCATTAGGATTTAAAGTTATGGCCTCAGACAACATTTGTAGTTTTATTTTATTTTAATTTGTATATATGCCATCCGTGACTCCGTTGTCCGTCAACTTTTCCTTTGAACGAATTCTTCTGAAGAATGGACAGGCCTGGAGTCATAATATTTTGCTGGTAGCTTCGTAGTTAAAAGCCCAACAAAGTTTGAGAATGAAAATGACCTTGACCTCCGTTTAAGGTCACTGGGGTTAAAAGTGTCAAATACTTAAAACAACTTCTCCTGAAGAACTGAAAGTTATAGAATCTTAATATGTGACTGGTAGCTTCGTTGTTAAAATCACGACAATGTTTGCGAATGAAAATGATCTCAGTTTACTATCAAGGTCAAAGGGGTCAAAAGTGTCAAACACTTCAAATTACTTCCTTGGAATAATCTAAAGATATAGAATTATAATATTTGGCTGGTAACTGTCACAGATGGAGTTGGCTGTTGGGAATTACCTCAACCTACTTTCAAGGTCACAGGGGTCAAATAAAGCAAAAACTGCAAACAGCTTCTCTTGAAGGAGTGAAAGGCATGGAGTCGTGATATTTGACAAGTAGCTTCCTTAGATGGAGCCAAACAAAGTTTGCGAATGAAAATGACCTTTACCTACTTTATTCTATTGCTTTATGTTAATCTAATTTGATATAGAGTATCCTTGGCCCAACATGATTCAGTGTTGTAGAAACCCTGCCCCCATCCCAATGGGGACAGGAGAATGGGGCCCAATATGGTAAAGGTGTTGCCAAGAGACAGAGCCAATAACTGGAAATTTTTGTAGTACAGTGTAATATTTAATTAATATTTAGCTTTGACTGCTTAAATATCCAGGTGAGCAATACAGGCCCTCTGGGCCTCTGGTTAAGTTACCTGATATTGAGAAAACACCTAGTTTCAAGGTCAAAGGTCAAATAAGTGTATATTTTAGCTACACAGTTGTTTGATGGCTGTTGGCTAATAAGGGGAGACCTTTGTTTTTGTGCACACAAAATCACTTATTTTCACTTTATTTTGTAGATGTCATGTGACAATTATTCAGACCAAACAGGAGGAAGGTGTGTCTTAGACAGGAAATAGGACACTGGACCAATCAGGAGGAAGGTGTGTCTAAGACAGGAAATAGGACCCTGGACCAATCAGAATGCCCGTAAGTCACCACGGATCTACCACAATCTTTTATATCAATCTCTATGTTTGTAAGTCTGTTCCTGGTAACTAACCAGACACAACATTTTATGTTGGTGTTAATGACCAGTCACAACGTTTGTTACATTAAGTTTACCTATCACAGTGTGTGTCAGTAACTGACCTTCCACAATTCTTGTACATTTTAATTATTGCGATATGGTATCTAGGATATAAGGTTATTGTTATTGAATAAAGGAGATCTAGGTTTATCTTTGATGTTTGTTCATATGTCAATTTGATAATGAATTAGCTATGTATTGATTGGGAGCCCCACTGACAACGTCAGATTAATGCATACTTTTTATCTCCTGTAAAATATCTGCAGAGATTCTAAATCATAGGTAAGAAAAATCCCAGTTCTGACTTCCTGAGGCCAGTAAATTTGGTCTGTGTGCAAGGAAATAGTTGTTTGTACCTGATAGACGATCTATAGAATATTGCTGTAAAAACTACTGTTAAATCACTATAGGCTGAAACTGCTACTTTCATGAAATGGACATGTATGTACATAATTTGGGGCCATTAGAAAAGCAGTCTTTTTTAAAAGGACCTGCCCAAAGGCTTCTGAAATTCTGATAGTGTAGCTTTACAGGTATGAATGAGGCCATACAAAAGCCCAGACTTTCTCTGGCTGATGCGTCAGGGAGAGGTGTCGTTAGGTGCTCCGATTGATTTCTATGATGCACTGATACACTGGCTGCTGTGCAGCACATCGGAAAGCTATCATTTACATACAGGGACACTGATGTGTCACGCACAAACCAATAACTGACAGTCAGGTATCAGATGAGATTTTACCTTACTATTAACATCAATGGTCCAATGGGAGCGCATTGTTTACAGGGGATATGTTCTAATGATAAAGAGTTTCGTGTATACCATTGTAATTATAATTAATACAGATATATTAAAAAACAATAATTAAGTAACAAAAACCGTGAATTACCTTTGAAATGAGAGTAAATATTTTTTTAAACATGGACAGAGCACTGTGTTGATAACTAATAACTAGATTTTATCTTCACATTATCAACAGGTAAAATACTATTTTTATTGCCATACTGTAGCGTCTGTCGTCTGTCCGTCTGTCAACTATTCCTTTAAAACGCTACTAGTCCTGAACATCAGAGTAGATTTTGACTAACTATGGTCTAGAGCATCCTTAGGCCAAGGGAACTCAATTTTGTATAAACAGGGGGGGGGG